ACCCTAACTGTTCTATGATTCTATGATTTACCTTTTATTTCTAAGGTCTCCGTTTTTTCTGTCAGCCTTTGTTTCTCTTGTTCAAGCTGGTTTAACAACAGTTCAAGATTCTCTTTATCATCTGTTTTTCCAAAGAGTTCTTCACTCAGTCTCTCATTCTCCCTACGACATGAGCACAACTCCTGAAGTAAGAAGTATTATTACAAATATTAGAAGTGCCAGTGGAAAAAAAAAACCTTAACGTTTTGTTAAATTTTTAATATTCAACACTGTTTACTTCTGTTTAACCTGGATGTTTTCTGCTTTAACGCTTGTTAAATGCCATCACTGTGTTTTTATACTACTTTTTATTACATCAAAGTAAGCATTAGTTTTGACACAGTTTGCAATCAGTATCAAAACAAGCAAGATTAACCCTTGTTTAATTCAAGAAACCAACCAGAAGAACAGTGGGATACAAGTATGGAAAGAAGTAATAACTAAAGCAAGGAATAATTTTTAATGGCATTTAGTAACACTGCTGGTGTTGAAGTACATCACTATATGGCACCTCAGTCAATCCATCCCTGCAGCTAATCAAATGCTATTTGTCATGTCTTCCCTGTAGTCTGGTGCTCTTGAAATTAAGTTCACTAGAAATACTAAACCAAAGCACAGTACTCAACTATTACACAACTTGCTATACACTGGAAAGAGATCTGTCTTCAAGAAATTGACAATACTGATGTTTTTCATCTGGGCTACTATGTTTTGTTTGAGTGAGCCATCTATTGCATGATTAAGAGACAAAGTAGCTTTTTAATGAAGAAAATTCTGTAGGGTGTCATAAGTTGTTTGTGGTAAAAATTACGATGTCATGGGAATTACAATTTTGGATAGCAGAAATATGGAAATGTATAGCAAGGACATAGTCAACCATACTGCCCAACAGTTCATGCAGTTTATTTCTGCAGCAGTATGATACAGCTTCTTTAGCTCTTTCATTTATTAATTAGGAATTTATTACAATAGAATTTTGGGGTACCATGAAAGTTCTCTTGTTAATTGTTAAACTGTTAATTTTTATAATAAATACAACAATCATGTGGATGACAGTATGACAACAATGCTACAAAAAAGAACTGAAAGTATTTTTACTTACTGATTTAAGCCTTGTTATTGTTTCTTCAAGATCCTGTATTTCACTATGTTTTCTTTCAATTTCTTTCTATCAACCAAAATTAACCTATATGTTAAAAGTTACATTTTCAAGATTATAACAATTTCGTTGTTACAAAAAATTGAGGAAACAGAGTATTTTGGTAGGAAATAAAGTATAGTTAGTTCCTTTTAATCTGCCAAATTTTAAATCATTTTAAGTACCTCAAAATTTTATTTCATACTTAGTTAACAGAAGAAAGAAGACAGAATGCTTCTAAACTTATATCATCTAATACAGTAAAGAGACAACATTGCTGTGATTAATCACCTTTCAGCAAGAAATTCTGTATAATGAAAAAAATAAACTGGGAAAATATAGCTCTTTAATCTTCCTTTACAAGCCAATAGGTCATTTGTTGCAATTAAAAGATATAAAGCCACCTAAGAGCTGAGCAGATTCTTCACACTGTAACACATTAGTGATTACCTTTGCTTCTCCAATTTCCTTATCTGCAGTCTCAAGCACGATTTCCTTGTGTCTTTCCAACTGCTGTGCCAAGTGGTCTATTTCATTCAGTTCTTGACACAGTTCTTCATTTTTATTGCTTAAATGCACTACCTCACTAGTCACATTTTGTTTAGTGTCCAAGAGGTCTTGAATGCGATTTTCAAGTTCTTTCTTTGTTTGCTGAAGATATTCAACCTGAAAGATATTTTTCATTAAAAGATTAATATATATTTTTAAACTATGGAGCAAGAGTTCCTCCCAATCTTCTGAAATATAGTATCTCTATATCCATAGTAAAAAAGGGACATCCTTTTAAAAATTGTAATTATTTTATATTTTTAGAACTTAATGCTTATCGACACGAAAAAATATGATTTTACAAAGGTGCAAGGTGAAGGAATTCATTACTACACTGTTCTTTATCTAGTCTCCAAAACCCAAGGGCTATTCTAAAAACAAAGTACTGAAAAGCAGAGATATGTACATAAACCTGTCTTGGGCAACAGTCTAGTAGACCCAATGTACTCAGTCTCCCTAAATTTCTGAAGGTATGAGGACACATTCTTTTTCCACCTTTACGGTGTATTTGTTAGGCTTAGTCTCACTGTTACTCCTTCATGAAAGAGAAGCTTTAAAAATCAGATGCACAAAACCTACCCTGCCCCCAACATATCTCAGCACCTTAAACACAGCATCCTTAGAAATCCTGTTCTATAGACACTGTTTTTCCAGTGTACCTTTCCCTAAGAATGAAGATAGGCAGTGATACAGAGTAGGCATAAAAAATACATACAGTAAGTTACACTACTCAGGAGTCTAGAGTATCTTGACAGATTCAAGATAACAGAGGTGCTCCACTTCCATCTCCACACAACTTTCCTCAGAACTTAAAAAAAAAGTATTACTGTAGAAACAGATGAAAGTCAGGACCCTCTCAAGTCAGCAATACTACTACATAGAGATACCCATCCATTTATTGTCAGAGATTAAAAATGGTACATTAGCACTGAACCTGAGCAAATAGTCTTGATGACCCAAAACCAGCTTTATGCTCTGGGTTCACTCTCTGTACAATCAATTTCTGTTCAGCATAACTTAGTAATTTGGGATCACTGAACACAGCTCTACTGATTCCAAGTCGTAGCTCATTCTGTATTTTTGCAGCACTGAACCTAAGCTAATAAACTCTGCAAAGTGGCTCTCATGCCACTGTACATCACACACAATCAGTATACAAAACTTCTGTTTTTCAGTTGGAAAAACAGGGAATTGATGGTATAAATCCAGACATCGTCTTTACTCAATCTGTACTACAGCAGGTCTTGTAATACTTTTTAAAAAATCCTCATTCTGAGACCAATATTGAACGCATGTTAACATGCACAGTAAGCACAAACATCTATCCTAAGCTTATCCTTTCCTTGCAATCTATGTTGGAGTAAAAGTGGGGACAATTTCAATTAAATGAGAAGATTTCCTGCTATCTGATGAGATTATCTGCAGGACTACTCCTAAGAAACTAATGGGAACCAAGGGTATATGTACTGAAACAAAAACTGTATGAACAGGAAACAAAAAAAGTATTTTCAAGCTTACTGAAAACATTGTATCATACAAAATTTTTCTGAATAGTCTTACATTAACATTACCATGTACAGATGTGCATTCATAGAATTCTTTACCAAAACTGTTCTAATAGACTTTTAAAACAAGTCACCTTTTGCCACCTAAAAAGGAAAGCGAGTTAAATCTACTGATTTAACATGTAATAGTGATTTTTTTTTTTAATGAGCTAGAAGTTTTGTGAGGTTTTTCAGATTGCTTGTATTGTAGTTTTCGCTACACAACAGTAATAAATCCATTACCTGCAAATTCAAATGAGCAATTAGTTTCTCATTACTTTTACTTCTTGATTCCAGAGAGATAATCTCATGAGAACGCCCTCCATCTAGTGCTAGCATGAGGCGCTCTATTTCTTTGTCTCTGAGCTCAACCTTTGAGGAAACAAACACAAAAAAGGTTTTTGTACCTTCTATAACATTTACTAGAAACTTTGTTCAAATAAACACCTATATAATATTAAGTAAGAAGATATGCACCTAATAATGCAATCCTTATCATTAAAATCCACTTTTTTTAAAATTCTGGATTTTTCTGAAAATAAGAAGTGATTTCTTTGAAAGCAAAATAAATGAAACACTGAAAACAGAGAACACTGGTAGAGGAAATTGAAGATGTGAAAAAATAAAAGATGGTGTCCACTACTTCCCAGCTATTGGAAGACATAACAACATATAACAATTGATGCAATTCCCTCACGTAAAAGATTATACATATCTTATCAATCTACTCAAGTTACTGTAAAACCTGTTGTTCATGAAATAACTTTCAAAAATTTATAAAAATATAACCACTATAAACAGTGAAAAAATTGTCCTAAGATATCGACAGATCAAATTACTATTTTGGACCAGTTAATGCTTCTGCAATAAAAAACCTTAGACATACACAAATTCTACTTATGATCATCACTTTTAGTTTACTTAATGTAATTTTAATACACAAAATTATCAGCAAAAGCAGCAGGCAAGTATTTTACCATTGCTGCTGTCTCCTAAAGTAGAAGAGAGAAATAGCTCAATGTAGGCAAGTTAGAGTAACTATTTCACAAGCCCTACAATGCTTTCCCAATGAGGTTAAAACACAAATTACAACTGAAGGCACTGCAATGGCTACCACAGCCAAATAATAATAATAAAAAAAAATTGTAAACATACCTGTTTGCTATAATTTTTCATTTCACGTTCAGTTATCTCCAGTTTTTCCTGTAGTTCCACTACTTCTGACTGAAGTTCATGAATTCTGAAATGTAGCAATATGGACTCATGGAAGAATCATATGCACACAACAATTCATTATTAGTATTTTTTCTTTGCTCCTGAACATAAATATTTCCAAAAAAACCAAACTTTGTTCATACGAAATATTAATGCATAAGCCATTGTTTGAGATACTGTAGCAGGTTGACCTTGGCTGGCTGCCAGTGCTCCACCTAGCTGCTTTCTCACTCCCCCTCAACAGGATCGGGAAAAATAAGATGAAAAAGCTCATTAGTCAAGATAAAGACAGGGAGATCGTTCAGTAATTACTGTCACAAACAACACAAACTCAACCTGGGGAAGATTAACTTAATATATTATCAATTTAATAATTCTTGATGATGAGAAACAAAGACAAACTAAAAACTCCTTCCTCCCACCCTCCACCTTTCTCCAAGCTCAATCACTGCTTTACTACCAACTCTTACAATGCAAGTGGTGCGTCCCTTGTGCACAGGGATGGGGAATGGGAGCTGCAGAACACTTTGTAACACTTTGGCTTTACCGCTTCTTCCTCCTCACACTGTTCCCCTGTTCCAGTGTGAGGTCCCTCCCATGAGGTACAAGTCCTTCATGAACTGCTGCAGCATGGGTCATCTCCACACAGTACAGTCCTTCAGGAACAGACTGCTCCAGCATGGGTCCTTCATGAGCCACAGCTTCTGCCAGAAAACCTGCTCCTGTGTGGTTCCTCTCCATGAGCCAGGAGCTTGCCCCTCAGGCTGCAGCTTCCTTCATGGCATACCCACTTGCTCCAGCATCGGGTCCTCCATGGAGAGGACAGAGATGGTCTCCATGGACTGCAGGGGAATCTCTGCTCCCATGCCTAAAGCACCTCCTCCTCCCACCCTTCTTCACTGATCTTGGGTGTCCACAGGGTTGTTTCACATTTTTCCTACTCCTCCAGTGCAGCAATGGGTTTTTTACCCTTTCTTAAATACATTTTCAGAGGGGAGACACCAGCATGGTTGCTGGGCTCAGCTGTGACCCAAGGTGGGTCTGTTTTGAAGCAACTGGAACTGGCTGTGTCCAGCACAGGGTATCCACTGGTATATTCTCAGAGAGGCCACTCCTGCAGAGCCCCCACTGCCAAAAACTTACTAAGTAAACACTCTACAGGTATATTCTAAATAAGAAAAAAGAATTAACTTGAACCTTTCATAATACCCAAGTAAAATACAGTATTACAAAAATGAAGAATCTTTTAGTCTTCCAAAATAAATAGGAAAAATCAGTTTATTCCTATGCAGAACATTAACACCTAGCTTTTTTCCAGGACACCCAATCTAAAAATAGGTATAACAGTAAAACCAGTACAGAAATCTTAAGAGAAATCCTTTAAGGAAATAAGCAGCTTATTAAATATCCATTGCAACTCTGTCACAGGCAGCACTGTAAATCACCAAGCAAAATCCTATTTAAGAACTATAGAGCTCTTAAAACATCATGAAATACAGTTTGTCTGAGGCAAATTTGAAAGGCAGAGGGAGGGTGAGGGTTGGAAAATCATTGCAGATATTTAACAACTATACTTCAAAATTTAGAATTTCTTTAGATTACCGATTATCAGCCACCTGAAGAAGGTCTGCAATATAAGGGTCCTCTGGCTGAGGAACTGGATAGGCACTAACACCTGATGGGGGGACGGGCTGGTCTATCTGCATACGTTGACGCCTGAAGGGAATGCTTCTTTTTCTGCCACCTAAAAGCCCAAACCCAAAGACCCGTTACTTGGAGTTAAAGCAAAAGAGTCCTCTTTTAATACAAAATGAAATATTCCACTGAATATTTCTGAACTGGCATGTGTCACCATTCTAGTTCTTACTGTAATAAGTTGATAAAAATTGTACATTTTAGTACATTCTTGAAGGTTAGTATCAGCTTTGACAAAGTTCAGTTTTACAACAAGGAAACATGCAAAGTTCAGTAAAACTAATTTTCTCCAGTGTGTAAGACCCTATATATTTTACAGTTCAAACTTGTTGAACCTGTTAGTGATTTACCTTACTAAAAAGAGCTAAATTAAAACATCACAAAAGGCATTTTGTTTCCACATTTAAGAACCATTTTATGACTGAACTAACCTCTGCATTGTTTAGTAATTTTTTTCCCCCCTTCTATCCTGTTGTCATTTCAGTGAATGGGTATCATATTAAGCAGAGGTGGTTATTTGCTTGCATGGAAACAATGTATTAAAAATAAAGCAAACTACAGTATTATTTCCAGAGGAAACAATTACTCTTCATCACACAATTAAATAAGAACACACAACGTCTGATGAAGACTGGTGACCAAGGGGCAAGTATGCAGAAAGACAGGCAAAAGTATAATAAGGCATCTTTGAAGAAAGGACATGAAATGCAGAAAGGTGTGGAAAAATAGGGAGGAATTTTAATTTCACCTAACTACCTATTAATTTTCCTTAGATGCCAAAAATACACAGGTAATTCAATGACTTGAAAAGAAAAAGACAATTTCAAAATTTCACAAAATAATTCTCACTATTTCCCTTAGCTTGAAAAAAAACAAAGAAAAAGAAATCCTGGAAAAATAAATTAACCTGAAAGTAACATCCAGAACATTTTAATTATCAAAAGACCCTTTAAATAAGCTTTCAAATAATTACAAATATTTTTGTAGTATTTGTTTGTAGACGTACTTTGCATCTTGCTGCTTTTAGATCTGGTTACATAAATCTGAATGAGTCACACATCATTATTTAGCTGTTGAAAGGTTAGTGTCAAATGACTAAATTAGGCGCAGCACTAAAACTAATTAAACAGCTGTTGATTAATAGTACTTTCCAGCCACATTTTACCTTAATAGTCTTCTATAGAATCTAAGTTTGTATTCAAATTTGCCCCTAACGCGTGTGATGTGCTAATGAAACTTCTTGCATACATTCAGAGCCAAAACATTCAAAAGGTAATGTTACTCTACTGGGTAGTTACCTTGCTGTAGTAACTTCTCTCACCAAACGTAAAAAAAAAATTATGTCCTGAAGAGCCAAAAGCCCAGAAAAAAGTTAAAATATCTGTGATTATTTACACTCACCAGGTGTTTGCACCACTGCTTGCAAATTCTTCTCCTGAAGCTGCTGAATTTTTTCAGTCTTGGCTTTGTTCTCTTTTTCTAGCGTTTTAATTTTATGTACATATTGATTATTCAGAAATTTCAAGTCAGCTGTTTCATGTTCAACCCTCCTTAAGGAGGCTCTCAAATCTTCAAGGGAGAGAGAAAAAGCAATACTATCTTTCTTATTCATTATTATTTTTCCTAGTAGCACCAAAACAGGCATATAGAGAATCCTCTATTATTCTTCCAGAACATGAAATTTTCAAATACACATACATATATACACACAAAAATACATATTTATACATGTTATACAAGTAAACGCCCTCTGTATTTTAAGAAACTATTTCTGTTTTAACAGAACAGCCGTATTTAATTTTAAATTAAAATATAGCATTTAAAGGTATGAAAGTATAAGTTAAAAAGTTCTAACATTTTCATGTTTGATTAAAGCAATGGTTTGCAGAACCTCAGAAGCTTTTTAACTACAAAAGAAATGTCTCTGCATGAGCCTTAATTCATTAAAGGCAAAAAAGCCAATGACCTCTCACACTCATTTAAAAGTATAGATAAGTGGATCTGCAGATCAAGGATTTGGCTACAACTTTATTTTGGCACAGAAGGATTAAAAAAAAAGTTATCATAATTTCTACATTACCTTTAACATAACGATCAGATTGTTCTTTCAGTTTTAATATTTCCAAGTGTAGCTCATTATTTTCCCTGGTAAGTTTGGCATTCTCTGTTTTATAAGGTTCCAAAATAGCATCATAATTGCTACACTCTTTTTCAGATTTTCCAGCAGATAACTTTGCACTGCGCAAGCTCTCAGTTGTATGAACTAGGTCACTAGAATAAAGAGCATCAGAATGTTAGAAATGTTATCAGCCTTTACACTGCAGATGCAAATATTTATTATGACCTGAGAAACAAAACTCTTTTCCTGAGACCATATTAACTGTAGAACAAATGGGTTCAAAAAAAGGCAAAGAGATCATTCATGTAAGAAAAACAGAAAACCAGGAATTACTCCCTTTAAAAAAAAGAAATAGGAAAGAACACGACAAATATAAAAAATATTTAGAAAGCATATCAGGATTTTACATCTGATAATTCAATAAACTCTCTTTTCTACATAAAATGAGATACTAAAAATTGGCAAGAGGATTTTTCCCTCCGAACAGTACGTAAGTTGTAGCACTACTTACCACAGAAGAACTTGAAGAATTATAAAAGGCCAGGTTACTAGTATTTATATAGATATTAGAAGCTACATAAAAGAGATTAGTGCTAAGAAGCTATAAACATTTTTGTGAAGATAGTATCAGAGTCAGTGATTGTGAGATTAAACCTATCTGTTAGACACCAGAATGAGACTTAATGTTGAAGGCAGATTATTCCACATCTGCCTACAGATGGTTCTTCCATCTGTATTATATGCTAGAGAGCAATAGAACCAGAACAACTACATTTGCATGTTTAGTCAAGCATAACTGGATTACTATGGAAATCTCCTTCTGAATACCTAAAAAGTTTTTCCACCAAAGGTAAACTCTCCACTCCCAATGGCTGCCGATAGCCCAGTTGATCTAGACGTTTCCTGAGATTAATGAACCTTCGCTCTGCAGTTGTAGTCATTGTAAACACACCTCCAAAGCAGCTTTTGTCACAGTCAAGAAAAATAGGGCACCTGCAAAAGACTATCTGTTACAGCATTTGTTCTTTAAAAAAGGAATAATACAGAAAAAAGTAATGGGGAGAAAAAAAACAAAACCAAAAACATTATTTGGTGTAGAAATAGCAGTCTACAAACATGTCCTTAAGATTCAAGTAATCTGAAAAAGAATCATGGAGCAACTAAAATGTTTTAAATATATTTATATATTTCTTTAAAAAGAAATAGTTGTCTTGGCAATTACTTTTTTCTAAGATCTTAAGAGTATGAAAATATTTTTTTCTTTCTCATATGTAAGAACTGAAATCTGAAAAGATCTTTCTGTGGGAAGACCAAAAAGTAGACTGTAATGTTTTTGAATGATGGTCATGAAGGTATCTTCCACTATGCAAACTGACAGCACACATACACTTTTTACTTTCATTTATAAATCTTACTTTTGAAGATTACAAGGCAGTACTTAACATAACTTATGCCAACCATTTGTAAAATTGCATAAAACATATCAAATTTTAAAGACAGTTTAACTTTGAACATCTTTCTTTCTGAGGGAAAACAGGAAAGAACCACCAGCGTACTACAGTCCTACCTGCATCGTTGTCTGGAAAATACAGTTCAAGGATCAGAGGCCTTTTTTTTCCATTTGTTTAATTACTTATCTTTTTATTACTAACCTGATCTAAAAGGGGCTGGAGCAGCACTGCTGTAGCTGAATCCCGATGAGAATTTTGGCTTTGGCATGTACCCTTGAGGAAGAATTATTACATTGTTAAGTTCTTCTGGATTTAGAGATAGAATGAGAAAATAAATTGAATACTGATGTTGATGCTCCTCAGTATGTGAAAACACCTCTGAAATAGATTTCTTGTTTTTCAATTTCCCCCACAAATCTTCAGAAGTTTCAGTATCAGCCTACTGACTGTAAAGACCTCAGCAGCCAAACTGCAAATCTGAGGAAGCACTGTTTGCATCTCACCTAAAGTGAATAGGATATAGATATATTTAAACTACGCTGTTTCACAATCCTCCAATTTTAAAAATACATTAATACATGCAAGTATTTGAAAACAAAATTATTTATAAATAAGAAAAGGAGAAAACCTGCAAGCTCTTCTCATGACTGAGGCTGGAAAGGAAGATGTCATCTTATTGGATCAAAACACTACATGTACACCTAGCAATGGGACTGTGGTTGCCAGGCATTGCTCAATGAGTGAGAGAGAATCACATCTTATGAGCACAGCATCTGTCCCAGGTACTGACAAAATATTTGCTTGGACAGGTTCAGGATGTTCAGATGTTAACCAAGCAGTGGCATGTAGAACAATCGCTTACATATATTGTACTGGAGTGGTTGGAGGAGGAGGCATGCTTCGTTCCACTAAATGGTAACTGTCAGCATGCTAAGTGGAACTAATGGGCACAAAATGCTTCTTTCTCCTTTGGCAGCCAAGGATTCAAGTTAAAAGTGATGAGACCTTGATATTTCTGCATTCATATGGAGGATTCTGTGTTGAATTCAGGAAAACGGTGATTGTGTTACTGTGTCTAATTTAGTCTCAGGAATACATCTTATACCACAGCAAAGGTAAGCTGGTAACTCTTGAGCCCATCATCTCCTTAAGAAGAAGCATATGAGTCAAAAGATTAAATTAGTTGTACTGATTCATTTGAATCCAAGATCAGTGTGACCCAACACCTCCTATCTCTAACAATTGCTACAGCTAGATTATAAAAACATAAATACCCCCATACACCTCCCCCAGGCTAAGTCTTATTCCTACATACCCTTCTCTTTCTATAAGCCTATAGTGCAGGAAGCTGGCAGGCCTAAGGTTGAACTTAAATCTTTGTAATAGTACCCGATAGATCTTTCGTAGATATGTCTAACTGTTTTCTTAAATCTCTTGCATTTTTACATCAAAATAGCCTATGGTGATGAATTCCCGATTTTAACTATATGTCTGGAAAACACTATAATAAATTAATGAGTGTGTGCATGTGTTCCCCCCCTCTTTTTTATTTGTATTGCAAGACAACACTAAGCAATAATTCCTTATTTCGATCCTTCATGATAGCATCTTTAGCAGATTTATTTTTAAAAACTTCTAGTCGCTTGTGCTGCTTGTCCTTTTCCATGATTTTTCTAAGAGATCACTCTGAACAGCCATACAGCAGCCATAAAATTCTTTACTGTAGCCTTCACTATTCATAGTGATTCCTAACATACCATTGGCCTTTCTGATTGCTCTAAAACAACAATTAGATGCATTCACTGTGACACCAACATCTCTCTGGGCTGTAACTGTCACTTTAGAGCCCATGATGTGTATTACTTTGCCTTAATTAACACTGTTGCTCAGCTCCCACTTTATTACTCAGTCCAGTGATACTCTCATGCAACCCTTGGACTACTCTTAACATGTTCATATAAAGACTAGATTTTGTGATCAGTGTTAAACAGCAGAAAATATTCTGCACATTCTTACCACATATAGTGGTAAGGTAATACTTACTACTCTTTTAGCCACTTAGTGAGCTATTAAATGACTTTTTCTCCATTTCTGAAGGAGACCTTCTTTCTTAAAAGCCTTTGGCAAAGAAACTTCTCAAAATCTTTTTGGAAATCCAAGTTTTCTACATCATTCTTACCCAGTCAACTCAATCCAGAATATTCTTTTATGTAAAGAAATTTAATAGCCTAGTGAATCATGATTCAGTCATGATGAAAGGTATGTTGAACTTAATACATTTGTCTGTAAATTTGCAAAGTACTGGAAAGCACTCTTAACAACTTCAGTATTTCCCAGGAGACAGGCTATATTAGCTGCATAAATAGTTCACATAATTCATTATCTAAATATTTCATGTAATTTAGTGCCACTAAGGAAGAAAATATAATTCCCATTTTAGATGAAAAACAGAAAATCAGATAAACAAACAAAAAAGGAAAATTAAGTGGCACTTTCAATCAGCATTTCCAGACAAGGACTTATCAAGATGTCTAAATGAGTGCATCTGTCAGTTATTCATAGAAGAGATACTCAGAGCCAATAGCCATATTTCATGTTCCTCCTTTGTTCACAAAGACTCCTAAAGGTGACAGCTTTCATGTACTTCATTTTGTGGCATGCCTGGATGGTTGTAAGAATGACCTATGTGTTTACGAAATAGACATATTTAGCACCCATGAACTGTTCCCTCCTGTTCTAAGTCACTAGTGACTGAAATTGGACATTGACATGGACAACAGTGGAACTTCATATCCAGTTCCTTTAGGCTATTATTATAGAATCAATATGCATAAAATTGTGTGAAAGAAGCAATGTTAATAGGTATTAGACTAACCATTACAGGTGGAATATGAAACGGAAAAGCTTCAGCACATTGAAGCCTTCCTTTCAGTCTGAAAACAATGAAGTGAAATTCATGGTGCATGTAGATTATGAACTGTTTCAGATGCAATACTTGTGCTATCAATAAGAAAATGTAATAATAAAAAAGCAGAGCAAAGATACATCTGGGCCATGGAAAACATAATGCAGTAATCGGGCCATGCGGAAGAAAGATAACACTACCTAAGTAACAATGGCACACAAATAAATCAGCACAGACAAATGTATATGCTATGAAATCATTTTCTTTATTGACTCTATAACATTAAGACCAAAGAACTATGACCTGGAGTTTCTAGTCTCGGTGGGAAATACCAAAATGCATTTTTCATTCTTCAGAACTGATATGCTAAACGCTTTATTTATTTATTTATTTTCTGCAATGCATGTGAAATATGCTCGCAAAACACCTGTTCCTGTCCTGTAATTACTGGTCACGTACCTCATTATGCTATGAAGAGCGAGGTTTGTTCTCACCCAGGCAAAAAAGGCACCTAGTGGGTAAAGCATTTGACTACAGTAATGCTCCCACACATGCCTCTATCAGTCCATGGGCGCTGAAGGCTCTCTGGTGAAACGTCGTTACTGCAGCATCATTTTCAAGCTGCACTGAATGAGCCTGCGCTTGTTTTGGCAACGTCTGTTTCCAAGTTTGTTTGCTGGGAGTTCACTTCGGACCAGACATTCAGATACCACGTTTGCTACAAACTGCCACCTCTTTGCTCATTAGAAAGACAACTCTTGCTCTAGAAAACACATTTCTACTTTAAAGAGTCGCCAGAAGCTGTACGTTTTCATTACAGCATAAGAAAACCCTACCGCTTACGAGCCTGCTCATCATCTATCTCCCCAGACTGGAAGCTTTACAGACATTTCAGCAACCCCGTTCTATACCTACAGAGGGCCTGACAGCCTTCAAACAGGTTTATTTTCATTTTTAGCTCCCTCCGTCCGGGTCGGTCTTACCAGACATACCGTTACAAGCAAATTCTTGCAGGGCGAGTCGCTACGGAGCAGCCGACATGTTTCAGCGAGGCTTCGGCAGAGACGCAGCTCCGGCGGGGAAAGGAGATTGCAGAACCCCGAGGAGACGAGCAGCCAGCGCGCAGGCCGTGACGCTGGGGGAGCTGCCCGGGCTTATCTGCGCTCCGCGGGGACAGCACAGACGGAAGCGGCTCAGCGCCACGCTCTCCT